TAGATAGATAGATAGATAGATAGATAGATAGATAGATAGATAGATAGATAGGCAGGGGATAGAACTCCCCCCAAAAAAGCGTAGGAGGCATAAAATGAATTTTTTTTTACATTACATTTTGACTGATGTGTTTACAAAAGCCTGTAAAAGCACAACATTTGAGCTATTCAGCGCTAGAGTCACTTCAGCAGAATGAACCTTGAGTTTAAACAGCATTAGATGCATTATTCTATTTCAGCAGTGCACCTGTCACTGAATCAAACTTGAATTTGATATAAAGACAACATTGTTTTTCATAAATCTAGAAGGTTTTTTTATTTGTTGGTGGTAAAGTGCCCAGAGCAAATCAATCTCTCAGCTGGCCCCGACGAACTGAAGGCAATCTGAGAGAGCTCTGATGGACTGAACAGGCTCGACGAGGGTCAATATTTCCAAAACTCAGAGAGCGTCCTGGGCAGAGTGCAAGCCTTCGGTGTTTGTCAGAGCGTGTGCTGGTAAACGCTGAAGGATCTGCTGTATTTAGCCTGTAACACACGCTCTTCCCTCAGTCCAGCACACGTGCCAGAACCGCAGCGCTCAACATCTGCTGCTTGCTCATTCCCTGTCTCTCTCTCGATCTCTGCCAATCACAGAAGATGGACTGATAGAGAAGAGTGTTTGGATTCAGGGCTCCTGCATGCGCTAGTGTTTTCTAGAGAGGCCTGCTAGTCAGGGCTGTGTCCCAATTTACATACTACCCACCCTACATAGTGAACAAGATTAGAATAAGTGTTTTTTTTCTGAATACTATGAGGTTTACATTGAAAACAGTATGCCAGATACGTTCAGATGATGTAGTGTCTGGTAAATCTCTGCAATCTCTGCAATAGTGCACCTATTCTATTCTATTCTGTTCTATTCTCAGTGGTAGAGCATTGCATTAGCAGCGCAAAAGGAACACACATACTGGTAAAAAAAAGTATAGCATGAATGCACTGTAAGTCGCTTTGGATAAAAGCGTCTGCTAAATGCATAAATTATTAATTAATTAATTATATATATGCATGCTTTCATAGGTAATATTACCCACAACCCCTTGAACTACAGAAGAGTTTGTGACAATATTTTGAATTAATTTAGTTCAGAAAAGTGACAAAGACTGAAGCTATCACAGCTGTTTTTAAATATTTGAACCTACATTTTAGCTGGATGCATGCAAACAAACAAACAAACAAACAAATAAATAAATAAATATTGGATGAAAACCCTTGAAATTAGAAATGTTGCCTTGGCAACTAACTGAAATAATTATTAATAATATTAACAGTAATCATCATCTTGCGAATAATATCTTATTAATGAAATAAAAGGCCACTTAAGTGGACTTAAACAGAGAGACACTTTCATGACGGTTTATTAACCCACTATTAAGTATAATTTTAAAAAGTGCACTTTGTAATAATGTGAAATTAAATGTTTTACATTTTATTGTGCTTCAAAGCTGTACACTGTTTTTGATGCGTTGACTGACATACTAAAGCACATGTAAATAGGTTATTTTAATTTGAACTGTAGTTTATGTTATTACATTTCAAGTAAATATATTTTAACTGTACTAAACCACAACCTAATCATTACAAAATGTGTGATTACAAATACATTTAAATACATGGCACACAAGTATAGAAATGCCATTAAAGTATAGTTTACCATAAATGCTTGTCAGTGCACGTTAACCCTATTTCAAAGACAACATAATTATGAAATAACATATAAACGTGTACTATTTAAATGCATCAAAAAACACTTAAAACATAAGCCATTATTCCATTTACTTGAGATATAAACTATAATACATTTTCATTTAATTGCCATTAACATGAAATTAAGCATCTGAAAACACTACATTCAGTTGACACTTAAGTATATTCATTTAAAGTATACTATTTCTCTAATAAGTACTGTTTTTGAAAACTATGACAAAGTGTACTTCTTTTTCACTAACTAAGATGCATCCCAGTACTATGACAATACTAGATACTGGAAGGACAGTCAGTTGTATTTTCTTCTAGAAATATCACAGCCCAAAAAAGGCCACAAACACACATCGGGGCGTGTTAGAACGAGCCGTTTTAGGGGGGCGTGGCAGAGTCTTAACTTTGATAAAGAATATCTCTTTGGTTTTGAGACTTTAGTCTTTGCAACTTCAGGGATCTTATCTATGCACAATCAGCTTGTAACACTCCAAAGAGAAAGGAAAACTTGAAATCGCATCGTATGACCCCTTTAAGTAACACCTAACAGACACTCCAGCATGCGACAGCTAAAAACTCCCTCTTTCCCCCGCGCTTGTCTTTTCAATTAAAGGCTAGGCCTCCCGAACCCACTCCATATTTCACACCGCGCTGAAGCCCGGCCCATTTGTTTTCAGGATTTAACTGTGTCTTTACCGCTCGCTCTCCTGCTGCGTCAACCTAATAGATGCCAATACGACAAGCTCGTTGACAAAGAAACTTCTTTTTGCTCTTTCATTTAAGCAAGCCGGAGTGTGTGATTACGCCATCTCTGAAACCAGGACAGGGTGACAAAGAGGGAGGGTGCTGCTGCATGCGCGGTTATAGATATTCCTCCGACGTCTTGGTTTATGCATAAACATGCATGCGTTTGTGTCTGTTTCTGGTATCTCTGATAGACATTTCCAGTTGTCCCGCGGTGTGAAATGCTGAGACGCGGCTGCCGTGCAGAACGAATAGGATTTGGAGCCGTACGTGAGTCTGAGAAGAAGCTGCATCCGCACTTTCTGACAATAGCAGATAGAGTCCTTTGAAGTACTAACTGCATTAGTTACACAATGCTAGTCGCTACAGCAGAAAAGATACACCGCCGTTCGCACAGATATCATCAGCTATTAAAAAAGCAGAAAATACAGGCAACTTCAGAGGAAAACAAACAAACAAACAAATAAATGCATGCATGCTGTATGAGTGCATTTCTTGCATATTCAGTGGCCAAAAGCATTTGACATCAGGGTCTAATTTAAGGTTTTGGTGATTTCAGTTAAAACAGATCTTAATGTGATGTCATATAATGGCATTCTAGAGAATTGTGCACTTCTGAAATTGTTACAGTTTGATCATTATTAAAGTCAATGGTTTGAAATGAAAAGTTCAACACATGTATGAGTGTGGGTTCAACATTCTCTTGGCCATATCAGTGTTTGTGTAGTTGTTGTTAACTAAACTAGTAATCTAAACTATATACAGCGTTATTAGTTTACTAGTTTAGATTAATGCCAGAAATAATGCTTAATAATAATAATAATTATTATTATTATTATTATAAAATTTTACAAAATATACAAATATTAATATTAATAACGTAATAATACAAACAATACTGAAATAATACTGGACCATGCATTTAACTTATTTTCCAGACAAACAAAATTACACACAAGTTTTATTTATTTATTTTATTTTTTTAAATATATTAATACTTGTTTTTAATACTGCTCCGGGTGTGTGTGTGTTCACTGCTGTGTGTGTGCACTTAGGATGGGATAAATGCAGAGCACTAATTCCTAGTATGGGTCCCCATACTTGGCCACATGTCACGTCACTTTTTTTCAGAGAAAAACAAATGTTTTACTTGGCCATTGTTTGTTTTTCTAATATTTTGTTTAATTAAATGTTGCTTTCAACTACTGTAGCGGTAAGACACATTTTCCCACATTTATATTAATTACAATGATGATTTGTAAAAGTCTACACATTGCATCTGGCCCGACCCATCAGCGCTCTACCAAATCTGACATTGTGGGATGTTTCAATTAACTAGGTAAATGTACTCATATGAAAGGTCATGTGTACTTGAAGCGCTGTGAGTCAGTATGATGAGACTTGTGTAACCGTACCTTTCCTCAGCTGGACGTTGAACTTGCGGCCGATCTTTTTAGAGTAGCCCACAGAGGAGGCGGCACTGGTGGGTCTGGAGGGCTGGATGGGGCCCGGTGGGGTCTTGTTTGATGGGTTTGCTATGTGTGGTAATGTAGGATAGCCCAGGGTGGATTCGACTTTGGACATTCTCCGCGGGCCGTAGTCCACACCTCCTCCCACCAGACTGGCCCTGTCCCCGGGGCCCGGAGCGGCCTGAAGACCCAGCTCGTTCTGAGACAGCAGCTCGTACTGAGCTTTCTTCACCGCTGGAACCACATCGAACAGGATGAGTGGAGAACGCATAGCCTGTCTGAACAAATTCTGGGCCCTGAGGGGAAACACACACACACGTGTCTCAGTAAGGATGTATCTCGTTGTCAATTACTGAACAGGCTCATCCTAAGTACTGGGGTTGTTAAAAGCAGAGCACATGCAGAGGTCAAAAGGTTGGCTTGCTTAATCGCTGGCTAATTGCACTAGTACAGTTGGAAACAAGGTTAATTCACATTATCTGCCATTTCCATAATCGCAAAGCCTTGGGGAGGAAGCAGTGAAACAGATTAGAGGCAGGAAGCGGGATCTGTTTTCATAAGTGTGCCACACGGAGGACAAAAACTACAGTCCATCAGACCTACAAGACACGGAAAACACTAAAAAACCTGGATTAGTCTAAATCAATCAATAAATCAATGAAGTGATGATGTATATGATGGAGTGGTTTAGAAGTAACTGATGCATATTAGAAACAAACACTCTTTATTTATAGAATAAGGTGATTTTTTTAAAGGAATAGTTCACCCAAAATTATTGTTATTATTGATTAATTATTTATTTATTTACATTCCTTATTCACTCAAAAAACAACATAAAATATTGTGAAATTAGTACATATGCTGTATATAACTTAGACAGCCCAGCCCAAAAATTTGTTTTAGAGAGATGTTTTAGAAAGAAGCATTTTCTGCTCACCAAGGCTGAATTTATTTATAGTAAAAAAAGAAATATTCTGAAATATTTTTACAATTTAAAATAACTATACTATAACTATACTCTATGAGAATAAATAGTAAAATGTAATTTATTCCTGTGATCAAAGCTGAATTTTCAGCATCATTACTCACCATATACTTTGCTGTCACTTTTAACCATCCTTGTTGAAATAAAATAAAACAAATAAAAAAATATATATTTTTAAATAAAATAAAATAAAATAAAATAAAATAAAATAAAATAAAATAAAATAAAATTAAATTAAATTAAATTAAATTAAATTAAATTAAATTTAAAAATCTGACCCCAAACTTTTGAATTTTGTCTGGGGAACAAACCAAAATTTTATTTATTCATCATCGTGATGCATCTTGAAATAGCAAACATGAAATTATACAAGCAAGATCGAAAACTATGGCAAAAGCAGAAGATTTTCAGTAAATAATAATTTAAATGTCAGTCTGTTCCACACATAAAGCAATCCTATGACTTTAAAACACAGTGCACTTGCAATGACTTAAAATACGGTGCACCAATTTTATGCTTTTTGTCCGTTTTGAAGATTGGAAGCTCCAGTCACCATTTACATTCCATTATATGGAATAGAGTTTAAAACAATGTGAACATGAGTAAACAATGCCAGAATCTTCATTTTTTGGTGAACTATTCCTATAAACAACCAACAAGCACATCGGGACAGAAGGTTACTGCTGCTATTTTGCATATAGATAGTTTGACCCAGAAACTTAAACCCAACGCAAGACCACGAAACAGCAGAGGAACACAAGCTTGGCACTGGCGTACGCAGCTGTTTACTCATTTAACATAAGAACCATCAGAGTGAGTTATTTCAGTCTCAATAAACTCTTCATTAGATCGATCTCTGCATCTAGAGAGCAAACAGCGTCTCACTGTAGGGACGCCCATCTATTTTTATGCAAATGTAGCCCCCCCCCACCCCCGCCTCCAAACGAACGAGCAGACGAGCGAAGCGGTGACACGCGGCTAATCACGCGACTCCCTCTGTCTGACTGAATAATAAATGACTCCATCAATGCATCATTACATTGCGTTAGATCAACCGCTAATAAATATTTACCCATGCAAACAATCCAATAAAATTAGAATATCGTTATGAATTATAACTCCACATGGAGCACAATCAAGAAACAGAGGGAGAGAGAGAGTGAGATAAAGAAAACATCGGTCTGTATGAATCCAGCAGCTGTGAGCGAGAAAAACACGACAACGCAGATGCAGATTAAAACGTTACTCTCATCGCAAGCATGGAAACCGCGAGTTTGTTTACAGATCAATAACATACCGAATCGACGAGTCGAACGCCCTGAGGGACGCCAATATATACCAAGAACAAAAGGCCCTAATATCTAATATGTATTACACGCACATTATCGACCCGATGTGTATGTAATTCACAAGGTGGTGTTTAATCCTTGATCCAAATGTGTATTTGTACTAGCGGCGAAAGCTCGCTCATACCTGTATATATGGTCTCATGCTAAAATATAGCCAAGCAATTCAAACATAATAATGCTTTGGGACACTGGGGAAATGAACTTGTGGTGTTGGGTTTGTGTAAGCAGACTGAATGATGCATGTAAATTAGTTTTAGATGAGATTATGAACTATCCCGCAGCTGTGCCCTTTCTGTGCCCTGTGGCGAACCCCGGCCATTCATTCTCCTGCAGCAGCAGAGTTTGCTCTCATTCCCGTACAATCATCTGGACCAGGCTGAGCCGTTCAAGACTGGGCCAAAGGAAGCTCTTGATGATACATGTGGAAGGAAACTCTACCTACAAGCAATATTCTCATCTTTTCTCTTTCTTGGAGTAGTTTTAGGGCCCTATGAAATCTGTTTTATTATTTCCCCAAATTCCCCCC